CAGGCCTTGTCACTGCTGGGAGCAGTCACTGCCTGGAAAAACGTGCTGCTGATTTCAGAAAGTGCCGTTAGTTAGAGGAGACTGAACTGAAAAGTAAAATCACTGAACAGAATTGCTTCTGGTTTAGCTGAAACCAGGACAGTCAGCTTCTGTTAAAGTAACTGCATGTGTACAGCTTTCACTTCTCATTTCCCCAGCCACCGAGCAGTCTCGAGTTGCTGTGACAGCAGGAAATAAAATCTGATTTAGTGTGGCCAAGTCTAGGGCTGAGCTGCTTCCCAGCTGCTTTCAAGGAAATCCAGGCAAAGCAGTGTTAGCGCAGACCTCAGAGGATTCCAGAGAAGGGAACGAGCATTTGCAATGAGATGGTTGTAGTTTTCATACAGCTTCAGTGTGACAGTGACAGTGTTGTGGACCAGACTGTCAGATGGCACTGCTCAGAGCTGGAGGCCAGCGTACGTGGGAGAGGGGTCAGGGCACAAGCTTGCTGAGCTGTGCGTGGGACAGATTCAGGCCCTGCTGGATCTGGGGCTTGCTGGGGATTTCCTTCCCAAGTTTCTTGTTCCTCAGAGTGGTCAGCTTCAGACTTTCCCGGCAGCTGTCTCAGGAACCTTGAAATGAGAAGTCAGGAAGGTAACCTAGCTTGAACTCCCTCCCATGTGCCTAATGCTGCAGAACTGCGGGGTTTGCAGCACACTGACCTGGAGATTGCAACTCTTAATTTTCCTGATGTTGTGCTCGGTGGTTTTATGCCTGCCACTGCCAAAGTCTGGTTCTACAGTGATGTCTTGCCTGCTTATCCCTGCTTTGCTCAGCTTCTCATCTGCCTAGGCCAGTCCCCTAGCATCCCCAAATGAAAGGATGTCTTCCCTGTTACTCTCCAGCGACCCACAATGGAGATTTTTGTCTATTACTGTGCCTTTCTAGAGTGAGGTGGGCATATAACAGTAAAAACTGGAGGATCAAACACCCACCACGCTCCCCATATGTGAATATTTCCTGAGCAAGTGCCTGCGGTGTCTGCTGTGGAGGTTGTAGCAGCCGTGCCAGCTTGGCGTGGCTACTCTGCTCCCTTGTGGCACTTGAGGGTACGGCTGTGCAGGACGAGAACGCATCCAGGGTTTGTTTCTTCAGCGCCTGTGCAAAGTGGTTTGCATCTGTCTGTCTCTGTCTTGCAGGGAGGTCCCGGTCACTTGTACTTGTTAAAGAACAAAGTTGCCACTTTTGCCAAAGTGGAGAAGGAGGAAGATATGATCCTGTGAGTGGCTGCATTTATGTTCTGGGCTCTGATAGCATTTTTCCGCTCTGTTTCCTCAATGGTTGTAGCGCGTGGCCTAGAAAAAGAGGTGGAGGGAGCTGGGGTGGCTTGGTCAGGGGAAGAGGAGGCAGAGGGCGGACCTAATAGCAGCTTACAGCTCCTTCAGGGGCAGTTGCAAAGATGATGGAAGCAAGCTCGTCCCTGGGGTGGTGTGGCCCTGTGACAGCTCACCAGGAGATTTATGCTTTTATCTGCTGTTTAATGTCTCTACTGACTAGAGACTATTAAAAGAGGAAGAGAAAAAATATGTATTTCCTCTCCTAACAAAGGCTTTGCTGACCAGAAACCATAATGTGCCCTCGTCTCTGTTGCTCAGAAGTGGCTGAGACAGCATTTCTAAGCAGGGGACTAGTGGCAGAAATCCCAACCGTTCCCCACCACAGCTGCCTCCAGTAACTGCACTCCTAACTGCAGGGGGAAATGGAATTTGCCTCTGCAAAGCCTGCTCAAAGTCCAGCATGTTACTGAGGAGGATTTTCGCTAACATGACAGCCTCTCAGCCAGGGTCACCGAGGCAATTTTGCTTCTCCTTGCAGAGAGTTGAGCTTTGCCTGTTTTGTTGCCTGCGTGCTCCTGCTGGCTCAAACTTACTTGGCTAACAGTGCTTCGTTGTGGGGGAGAGGATGTATACCAACCTGTTCCTAAACAACTTTTTGTTGGCATGAGAACTGAGTATTAAAATCAACATCTGTTCAGCGCGCTCATGCTCTGACACAAACACTGTCAATAAAATCCTTCAGCACATGTGCGCATACACACTTCTGGATGCGTTCCAGGCATAGCTGGTCCGAAGTTGTTAATTCAGGGACCTTCAGAAACTGTGAACACGCAGCTGAAAACCTGGGTGCTCGGCAGTGAATGTCTCCATCCAGCCCGTGTGTCCCCTGGGGGGCGGTCCTGAGGAAAGCTTAGGCTGCAGCCTGATCGCAGACCCCACAGAGGAAGTGCTGGGCTTTAGAGCCCACCAGAAGTCTGCTGTAACCCCCTGCACAGGGGGAGAACGTGGTTGAATTTCATTTCCCTGAGGCACGTTGAAGTGTGTCTGGTCAGTAATCACAAAATGTAAAGTGGGTCAGACTGGTGAGCAGCACCAAGCCCTGGCTAAGATGGAACAGCCTGGTTTGGTGTTGTCTCTCTAGCTATGTAGAACAACCTCTCCAGCTGTCCTCTGCTGATTTCATGCCCTGGGAATGAACCAGTGCACTGATAACTCATATTTAGCAAGAGCAATTGTTGATAGAAATGGAAGAGAGGAAATTGGAGGAAACTGCTCCAAGAAGAGCATACTTAGTAAAACTGTCAGTCTAAAAGCACTCCTGGTGGACTTCGCTCCCTTCTCTTCACCATGGAGCTTCCTTGGCTCGATGGGCCGCTCCTCCTTCTCTGCCACGTGACTTGGACCCACTCTTCGGGCCCTTGCTCTGCCCCTGCTCTTCCTTGTCTAAAAACCAATGGCTCCTGCCGAGCAGCTTGCTCCTCAGGCCCCTTCTGAGCAGGGTATGCACACGCATCCTTGTGATTACACATGCATGTGAGGAGATAGGGGGTTGCTGGTTGTTGTTATTTTTAGTTATGTATTCTGTTCTTTTCCTGTTTATTCCAGCTTCTGGAAGAGGTTGAGCCGGCTGATGAGTAAAGTCAATCCGGAACCAAATATCATTCACATCATGGGCTGCTATGTTCTTGGAAACCCCAATGGGGAGAAGGTAAGAGCTTCCTGGGTTGCCTCTCTGGGAACGTCTGCCGAGTAGCTCTAAGCCCGGGCAGGCAATAGTCACACTGTGAAGTCTAAACCTTCCTCTTCTGCTGTGGTGAAACATGCTGCCATCCTGTCCCAGGAGTGGCCGTGAATGGGCGAACCACCCTATGGATTGTGCCTTCACCAGAGTGCGGTGAAGAGCTGTAAGTGACGTGCAAGACAAATATTGAAGCCCTTGAGGACAACTGTCATTCAAAGCACTTTATTTATTTACTGATGAGCTAGATGTTTTAAAGGACATGAGTAGAAGGTTTTCTAGAGGTAGGGAACAAGGATGGGCACTTCTGGGTGCCCTGCAGTTCGTCTTTGTTTTCAGCTGCTAACCCTCGATATGTTTTCCTTTCAGCTATTTCAGAATCTGAAAAACTTAATGAATCCTTATAGGGTTGCCTTTGAGTCTCCACTTGAACTCTCAGCTCAAGGTAATTTATCTTCTGTACAAAGACACACACCTTCCTAATGAGCCTGCCTCCTTCAGTGGGCATCTTCCTCAAAAACCAATTTTGAGCTCCCTTAAGTCCTGCCATGGTCTTTGCTTGTATCCACCTTGTGTAGTTCAGTTGCTGAACCTGGTTTTCCTCTTGTAATTCCTCCATGTTCACATTTCACCTGTCCTGTTTGTTGTGCCCGAAGCTGCAGAGCCCTCTCCCATCCTACTGGCTGTGGCAAAGGTGCCTAAATAGTAAGTGGCTTTCCAGGCTGTTTAGGAGGTTCATCATATTACTAAGGGATGTGAAGTCCGTGGGAGAAATGCAGGTGGGAGCAGAACCTTTTCTGTAACCAAGTGTGCAGGATCTCTTTTCCAGGACTCCAGCCACTGGTACTGAGTGAGTTGTCATCAACAAGCGGCTGGGATATAGCCTCTTAGAGCCATTCTGCATCTCAGTCTGCTTTGCTTTCGGTCTTTTTTTGCCTGTAGCTCAAGATATTTCAAGGGGCTATAGAATTTTTCCTGTTCTGTGGTCGATGTAAGTAATTACAGGTGCAGTTTCATAAGCAACATGTTCTGAATTTGTCCTTGTTATTTTATCTTTGCTGTAGTCCTTGGTACTTCGTTCTCTTGGAAGATAAAAACAAGCAGCATTAGGCTATAAGCACTGTGGGTAATTCCTCTGCTGCCCACAGCTGGCATCAGCACTGATGGGTTATTCTTAACTCCCACTTACTGTCACAGGAACCTACGGGAGTTGAGCATGTTCAGGCCACGCAGTTCTCTATGCGTGTCCTGTCGGGCTGTGGACCCAGCTTTATACAGTGCTCACACATCACACAGCGAACATGCTCGTACATGTGTGTGCCAAGAAGCAACTTGCAGGGAAATTCCTGGGTTTATAGGCAGCTTGGCAGGCAAGGCAGCGGGCTCTGTGCATGTGCATTTAAGCAGTTGATCTTCCAGGAGGCTGCGCTGAAGGATACGTCTGAATTTATCCCCTTGATCAATCTGGGACGCGCTAATAGTGTACCCTCTCTAATCCTTTGCAAAGTCATCTGAAACTAATCTTAATCAGGCCTCAAAAGCGCAAATCCCTTCCTGAGCCCCGTCTCGGAGTCCAGGCTTGTTTGCCCTTGTGTGTTCAGCTGCGCTCGCTGCCTCCAGCGCCGGCCCTGTGCCTGGCTGTCAGGCTGGGGCTGCCTCCTGAGACCCCCCGCCTTCAACCAGAGGTGCCAGCGGTGCAGAACTTGCATTAGTGTGTCCTGTTGAGCTCATCGCTGTGAGAATTCGGAGGCAGCCCTGCAGGACAGAGACAGCCTGTTAACGTTAATTTAAAAAAAAAAAAAAAAAAAAAAAAATTATGTTGAGAATTTTCAATGTTAAATTAATGTTTTCCACAAATTTTTACAATGAGTTTACTCTTGATTTGTAATGTTCTGAAGTCCCTGTGCCAGGTTGCCTCCTGCAGGCAGTTGGAGCTGTTGTCTGATTCTCTGCAGCCCCGGCCCCCCTTCTGCAGTTAGTGCAGAGAGGCCAAAGTCTGGAGACACACTTTGTGCTCAGTTCCCGCCCCATGGACAAACCCTGCCAGGGGACTGTAAGGAGTCTTTTGTGGTTTGAGGAGATCTAAAAGACGTTTGCTCCTCATGGGCACCTTCCCGTGGCCTGGCTGAACGTCAGTATTTTCCAAAGGAGGCCTATGGACGGGTTCTCCTGTGCCCCTGCCTGCAGGTGGGCTGGGGTTCTTCGCTGCTGCTGCAGCCTCTCGCATCCCTCCGTTGCGCTGCAGGGTGTAACCCTTCTGCTTCGTTTCGCTTCTAGGTAAGCAAATGATCGAGACTTACTTTGACTTCCGCCTTTACCGCCTCTGGAAGACCCGCCAGCACTCTAAACTGTTGGATTACGATGACATTTTATGAGCTGGAGAAGACTTTGCAAGAGGAAGTTGATCACCGGTGTCCAAGAAGTCATGCTTATTGCAGAGAGACTTTTTTATTGGCACGGGGAGCCCTTCAAAGCCCTATAGGAGGCAGCAGTGCTAAAGGGAGGGAAGAAGGAGCCCTCGGAAGTGTGTCAGGAGGCAAGTCTCCTGGGTCCAGAGAGACTGGAAGGAAAGGGTTTGACACCTCACTCGCCTCAGGTCAGAGCCGCGGTGTCTCAGGAGGAGCTGTGTGAAACGAGGACAGGATGGAGTTCCTTGCAGAACTGAGCTGTTTTGGGTCAGAATGGGCCAGATTTGATTCCAGGTCCTTTTAAAGACTTTTGAAGCTCAGGTTTTCTTACAAAAAAAATAAAATCAATTACCCATGCACTACGGTGAAGAAGTGCCCAGAGCACAGAGGAAGGAGGGGTTTGTACTGATGGGACTTTCTGTGCTGGGGACCTTGGAGAGCAAGGACTGCTACACCTACTCCTGCAAGCTTAGGTCAAGATGATCAAGTTTCAATGTGAATATATACTGGAATATAGAATTGAAATCTAACTTTTGTTTTGTTTTGTTTAATAGAAAATAAGTGCAATTTTTATAGCGAGAGGGGTAAAATCCCTCCCAATATTTAATTAGTTAAAAATAACACACCAGTAACCAATAGATGAGGTATTTTTGGTCTGCTTGAAAATATATTCAAAAAGGTAATATATCTTCTGTAGACATATTTAATCACCAGCAAACATGATTTTAATGTAACTTAGCAGACCCTGCATGTCTGCTGCATTGATTAATCTGGTTTGGTTCCTTACTTTCAGAGTAGCTGTGTTGCACTAATTGTATGTGCTCTCACGAATGTATATTTCTCCTCCAATTAGACACAACTTCGTTACTTTCTATTTTGCTGCTTGCAAAACTATGGGACTTTAGTTTTGCTGAAATACTTTAGGTTAGAAATATGGTACCTGGCTGAGAAACCTCTGTCAGGTTCACTATGGTATAAAAATGAATTAGAAATTAATAGCCATGGTAATTACGTGTTGCTGCCAGTGCTTTGCTGTGTGTGGAGAGGCAAGTTCTTTCCAGTCTGCTGTGTGGAGCAGCGTGGTTACGCGCCCGTCAGAAACCCTCCGAGGGGACTGTTCACTGAGGCAGTTGGAAGAAAAGCTTCTGCAGGAAAACAGCACGGGTTTATAGCATGAGTTTGAATCTTCCCTACGTTCACTTGATTGCCCGTTGTTTGTGCATAACCCACCTCTTTTCCAGTGCTGAAAAGACCTGTTTATCGGTCTGAGCTGCTCACGTCCCCTCCCGTGTAGGACAGAGTAAACCCAGAGCTTTGTCAGAGCAGCTGTGGTTTGAGAACCCAGATTTGTACTTGATATTTGAGGATATATTTTAGAATATATTGGGGTTTTGTTTGTTTAGGTCAGGTGGGGGGGGGTTGCTTTTTGTTGTGGGAATGGTTTTTTTCATCTTCTGCTCTCCTGTTCAGAGGAAAATTCCTACTTACAGCCTGCATAGGTCACTGTGGCAATTCTGGGAGGTGATACACGTTATTTCTTTTGTAAGTAAAATATACTGGAGAATAACCGGGAAGGATTACCTTGGTTTCCTGATTTCCTGATATCTAAAATCAGTTGATTGTGAAGTGAAAGAAAACACATGTACAAATCTTCTTTTAAATACTTGCAAAAAGAACTAGTTGTTCTGATCTGTAGAGTACTCCTTCCCCCGCGACACATCTGTGGTTGTAACTTTGGGGAGCAGGCCTCTGGCTAGAACTGTACATTTATAGCAGTTTTATAGCAAAACTTTTGAAGAAATAATGTATATATAGTAAGTAAGGAGAGGAACAGGTGGAGAGAGATAGTTTAAAGTCACAGAAGGCAACATTGAACCAAGCAGGTGGGGGCTGTGGCCTCCCGCTCTGGTTCGGAGCTGTTGGGAAGCCGCCCTGCTGAGCTGGCCTGGCCTCAGGAGGTGTGGTGGCTACGGCCCATCCCTGGCTGGACTCTTTTCCTCTTGACTCGGTCGTATTTTCCAGACTTGTAGTGAAGGGGGTAGTAGGCACCAGTCTGTAGCTTTCGGAAGAAAATGCCAGCTATAAAAAGGAGAACCAAATTTATGCCAATTCTCTGTTGTTTAGCATGGTAGCTTCCACCAGCTGCGCTTGTGAGCCGGGGGAGCTGTATGTGCGATGAAAGCACGAAGCCATGTGTTATTTGGAGAAGGAAATGGTGGTGGCAGAAGTAAAACGCTGACACAAAACTCTCTCCCTTTCTGACCTTTTTACCTCTATGGTTACTCTTCTAACTGGAGACAGACAAACTGTTCTTCCTTTCTGTTTTCTAAAGTAAAATCCCAATTCAGTGAACTTGGTAGCATGAATGTAGCATTGTGGAACTATTGAAAATCTTATTTAACTCCAAAAGGGCCCGTTTATGTATCCACTTCAGTGGTTTCTCTGTAGAACTATTGTGTATCTATCCTCATCGACCACTTGTAGAACTAGGGTGCAAAGTAGAAAGGTAGATTGTACAGTTGCATAACTTCTATAGGAAGATGTATGTTTGAATGAGCATTATGGCCTGTTTTACTGGTGCAGTTGACTATAGTAGAGTGTAATGACAAACGATGAATGCATTTCTCTCTTTTCCAAAGATCTATATTCCTCATAGTTTGTGATGTTTATGACATGAGCATATTATTTCCTTTGTAGCATTCATTTGACTAAAGAGATGAAATACTCTAAAAGCTGTGACTGGAAAGACAACAGAGTTTTGATGTTTGAAGTCCTTTGTGCAAATAGCGTCATTGAAGTCAACCATTGCTGAAAGAGGAAAACGAATTTCTTCCCCTTTTTAACTGGTTGGATTTTTCAAGTGGCTTCTGGGAAAGGAAGGGATCAGCAAAGGATAGGGTGCAAAAAAAAACCCAACAAAAAAAAGCGCAATTATTTAAACTTTAGACTTAAAAACAGAGCCTGTAACTTCCTAAGTTGGTCCAGCCTGTGCAGGGTGCCCTCAGGGTGTGTGCTCGCCGCCAGCACCCAGCACAGTGACAGCCAGGACGTCCCCTCCGCAGAGGCTGAGCGCCCGTTCCTCGCACCCCGAGCGCCTCTGCAGCATCTTCCCTGGGGGCTGCTGAGGACAGCCTGGGCAGTGCCTGCGGGCACGGCTCGCCGCAGGGTCTCTGCCTGGGGGAGCTGTGGCTGCTGAGTACACGGGACAATTTGTCCTTCCACTTCTACCTGCTGCTTTCGGCTCCCTGCTTTTGGGGTGTGTCCGTCTGAAGCCCTGAAACCAGTTTGTTCACAGTCCGTAATTGCCGTCTGAATTGGCTTGGTGGGGCTCGGCTCTCGTTAGGGTAATCGGAACGAGCAGTTACGGTGCGGTTGAGCTCCCGTTACACTCAGCCCCGCCTTGGGGAGCTGCTGCTGCAGCTCCTGTGTGGTCTGGATCTGCTTTTAGCAGGGGCTGGAGAAACGGGGGCACTTGGTTAACGCTGGAGAGAAGCACATCCATCTGGAATAGCTACACAGGGTGCCAGCCCCACCTGGTCACCCCAGCCGTGCGCAGGAGCTTCTGCCTCTGGCTATGAGGCAGTACTGGGGGTGACCTCCAACCCCTTGCCTGGCCTGAGGAACGTCAGCAGAGAGCTCTGCTGGTTGCGTTGTGGCCTGAGCTGGGACCATCACCTCCAGGAGAGGAGAAAGGTGGGCAGCAAGTGCGTCAGGCTGCTCCTCAGCCGGGGCTGTGCACTGGGAGCAGCTCCCGACCATATTCTCTGGTGCCTGCAGACAATATTCACTCAGCTGTAGAGGCTGGGGGACAGGGGGTGTCATCTTCTTGGATGTGGCGCTTGTCTTATGCAGGGTTTTCTAGAGAGGATTTTCTCTTTTTCTCGCATTTGGCTGGGAAGGAAAGGGAAGAAGAAAATTCAAGTCACCTGAGGGACATAGAAATAAGTAGAAAATTGAGATACAGCTTTTTGCACCTTTCCTCATGCTGCAGCCGCCACCTTCCCTTTGCAGCTGACCTCCAGGCCTGGGGTGGGAAACGGATGAGTTAGCAGATAATCCCTTCCTGCATTAAAAAAACCCCAAAACCCAACAAAAACAGAAACAGAAAAATCCTTGTAGCTGTAGCAAAACATCAGACTGCAAAAGGCAACCAGCCAGCCCATCCTGCCCCGTGCGAGGGCTCTGCTGTGCGCACCCGTGGGATCCCACCTGCTTCTGCCTCCGAGTGTCCCTGGAGCTGCCCGAGCCACGGCCCACGGGGGGGCTTTACTCTGCCTCCGCGGAGGGGACTCTGGAAATGAGTTTGTTCTTCGTTTCTCAGCCTGGGCTTGTTGCCTGGAGCTCAGCACAGGTCTCCTGCTCCAGGGCCCTTCTGGAGTAGGCGTGTATGTGTGTTCCCGTCATCTCTTCACACACAGGCTCTCTCCCGTGGCCTGGGGGAGATGTCCCCCTCGATTGCCCCCCCCTGTTTTGCCATGTGCAGTAAAGCGCGAGGCAGCGTTACCGTTCCCGGCCGTGCTGTGTTGGTGTCTCCAGCTCCTGGCACGCACCCATCTCACAAAGAGCTGCTGTTGGTTCGGGACGTGACTGTGTTCGTGACCTGTGGCTGGGAGTTCCTGTTCCCAAGGCTCTGCTGGCAGAGTGACTGCCAATGCTGCTTCGTCACCTTCAGGCAACATAAGTGGGGTTAGTTGAAAGAATGGAAAATGCTGATTTTAAATAGCCAGCCTGGCAGGATCTGGAAATGGGAGTGTGTTCTTCATCCCGGCCCAGACAGGAGGTGGAACGACAGGCTCACTCTGCTCTCTTGGTGTAAGCGTAAACATTGAACCCATTAAAACCTCATTTAAGAGTTACACTTACATATTATTAATGTATTGGTCCAGGATAAGGTATGTTACTGTATGATTAAAAAAATCCTTCCAGGGCCCTTGGCGGTTGGCCTGCGTTGCCAGAACCGTGCATCAGAGGTGTGCTGGGTTGTGTCACCCTCCCTCAAGCGATGGGGCCACGCTGCCAGCACCGAGAGACAGATTTGCAGGTACATGTAAAGCTGAATCCCTTTGTACTTTGGGTTTTGCCATGACAGTCCCTGGAGCTGATCCAGACAGCCCTTCCCGAAGCTGCCGTGCAGCTATCCTCCCGAGGGATGCCCAGCGGCAGCAGCATTTTCCATGCCACCTGTGAAAAGTTGTGACTGTACTTTGTCTTGCTGATCACAGGTTCTGTGGCTTTCTGCGTCTTCCATGGGAGTGTGTTTTAATTCTCAGTTGTGGAAACACAAGCCAAAGTCAACTGGAAACTTACGGTCTTGATCACAAGTCGGCCTGCCGATATTGTATGCTCGAGCTGAGTGAGTAAATGGGTGGTTTAATGACCATGAACCTGATTGTGAGCATTGTTACTCCCAGTAATCCTGCTATGTCATCGGCAGAATTAAGATACCAGAGTTTGCTGTCTCTGCCTAAAATGCCAGTGCATGATCTCTTGCCGAGGTTGTGCATGAGCTAGTGAAGAGTGATAGGAGCAGGTGGGTGCTTTGATTCAGGAATAAATTCGGCCCAACATACTGCAATTCAGTGTGAAAGAGACTGGAAGGGATAAACATGGTGGACATTATATGTAAAGAATCCATCTGAAGGGAAGCTAAACTGAATTTTTCCATAAGTGTTTAGTGAATTTTAAAAGACTAATACAACCTAATGATTTTTCACATTGTTGTATTGCTT